AGCGACTGGTTGTATAAATTTAAATTACGTTATAGAACATCATATCGTATCATAAACGGAGAATCCCATGATTTCTCAGTTGAATTATTTGAAGATTCAGGAGTTTATCCAGTAATGTATGTGGACGTCACCTAAAGACGTTTCTTTTCTCCTCCCGATGAAAAAGTGGTTCAGCGGTAAAATCGCTGAACACTGGTAGTTCGGTCCGAGGTTCGAATCCCACGAACGGGCTGGCTGCGTGGGCGTTTTCGTGGTTTTCCCCATGTGTAACGTGTATATGAGCCAGTTCTCTTAGAAAGCCCTCCACAAAGGCATCCCTTCCCTTAGGCAGATAGCCCTAGTGTGCTTTGCCATAATTAAATAAACCAAAACCTCTTGATGAAACCAGCCTTTCCTTTCATCTCATATCTTCAAAATGCTAACCTCTAAAGATTGTGGTGTGGTGTATTTAATTATGGCAAAGCACACTAAGGCTATCTGCCTAAGGGGAGGGATGCCTTCGTGGAGGACTTTCTAAGGGAAACTGGCTCGTATACATGTTACACATGGGGAAAACCACGAAAACACCCATGCAGCCAGCCTGTTCGAGGGATTCGGACTGAACTACCAGTGTTCAGCGACTTTACCGCTCGGCCACTGGTGGGCTCCTCTAAAGATTGATAAAGATTCTGACTTAAATACTGATGAAATGGATTGAATTGGATTATTAAGTTACGGCAAAGCAGGGCTATCTGCCTAAAAGGAATGATGCCTTCGTGAAGAACTTTCTAAGGGAAACCAGCTGGCATATGTTACACATGAGAAAATCCACAAAAACGCCCATGCATGCAGCCCGTTTACCGAGATTCGAACCCCGGTGGTAACTTCCAGTGTTCAGCGACTTTTTTCAGCGAATTCTGATCCTGAAATAAGGGGGTTTTCCCCCCACCCCTCCCTCTATCTTCATATTTATAAAATTATTTTCTATTTACATCTTTATAAACGAAATTAGTATAATGCAGAATCTGAATAGTTTTTCAATTTTTAAAAAACATATAATACGGCTCACACGATTTTAGCACGCATGGAATAAAAGTATAAAAAAACACAGGATTTTTTTTTTTTTTTTTTTTTTTTTGATAAATATACATGCTTGTAAGAAATTTTATTTGGAAATATATTTTAATCACCAAAGAGGACGTAAATCTTTCATGATGTATACTTCTTGTTCTTGGATCTGCCAGCGCCAGTTGAATGCGTGTTAGATTGAATAAACTTGGAAGTTTGAAACCTGATTCAAATGTTCATTTACCTTGATGAAATTGTATGTGATTTAAATTAAATAGCAACTCGTGAACCAGGATATCTTGAAATCTTGACGGTTCTATTATATTATTTTACATTTAACTAATTTGTACAGTTAATAATATTATTTGTACTCACTTATTATTATTTTTCCCCCCATGGTAAACTGTGAAACATGGCTCTAAACATAATCCAACTTTACATTCTTCACACCAAAAGCGAGTCTCTTACGTACTTTTTTCCATTGTTGTCTTTTTTGGAGCAACATACAGCACATTGCCTTCTAGGTTCCTTTTTAATAGGATTTGGTGATATGTGGCTTGCAAAATGCCTCCCTACAAAATGAATAAAGTTCATACTATCATTCCTAGACCATATTGATGAGCATATAGCAGAAGAGTATTTGTCAAAGATTTGCTCGATAACAGCTAGCTTGAAATCAAGAAATTTTTTTTTTTTGTGTTTATTATATAGAAATTTCACACTGCTAGATCCAATATACGGAAAAAATATTTTCTTGTAATATTTACAAAGTTGTTTTCGGGTACTAGGGTAGTACGACATCTTCTGATCACATCTATTGACACCACTCATGGTAAAGTTATAATCATAAATCACTTTTGGCTTTAGTTTTTCTTTTGCCGTCCTCAAATAATTGATACAGATGACGCACCATGAAACTATTTTTTTATCATTCCACTTTAACACCATAACTTTTCCACGCTGATATGTAATGCACTGACCCTTTTCCACTTTTTCTTTCCATTCTAGTACTATGAAGTGTTTCATATATGTCTGTTTTCTTTTGAACAAGAATATCTGCCAAATATGGCAACATATAGTAAATATCAACAGTTATATAATATCCTTTGTTCAGATACTGGTGTACTAGTTGAAGAACAACAGCAGTTGATTGTGGATATGTTGAATATTCATGTATGAAACGCATGCTTTTCCTGTGTACAAAAGAAAATTGCATATATAACCTGATGAGGCTTCACATAACATGATAAACTTTATTCCAAACCAAGAATGTTTCAAAGTAATATACTGTTTCCATGCCAAACAACCTTTATAAAGCATTAGAGATTCATCTACACTGACCTGACCTTCAGGACTGAGTGTCTCACGAAACTTTTTCCTAATATTTTCAATGACATCATAAACTTTCCACAATTTAGGGCAAGAGGGTGTTGAAGGGTCATGGAGATTTCTCATCAAGAAGTAAAAATGATCACGTGACATTTGTGAAAATACTAGCGTTTTTATAGATTGCCTTTTTGACCAATACCAATGATAATCTAGCTTTTCTACTATCTCTTGCAAAAATAAAAGTATGAAAAATAACATCACTTCGTCAACATTAGTCGGTCACCATGGTTTACACTTCTCTGAAAGTTTAGGCTTCTTAGCAGGATGTTGAGATGCAAATCTATTAATTCCATTTACTACAAAATCAAGTTAAGTCTTTATTCACAAATTAAGCTAAAAAATTCAAAAGATTCATCTTTGTCAGTTGTTATATTAGCTAATATTTTAGGATAGCTGGAAAATGGGAATCTAGGGGAAAATGGAGGAGGATTATTTCATATTTATTTTCATCCATATATGAGCATTCGGAATTGCACTATCATCATTATCATCGGAGCCTTCTGTTTTGGTTTGACTTCCTGATGAATTTCCACTATTACCATCACTCTCCAAATTTATGGAATATTTAGAATCACTAGCACTATTGCTGTCTTCATACTAAACATAGTTTCATTTTTTATTCAAGGGTAAAATGCCACTGCAACCCTTCAAATCCATATTTTCGCACTCGTTTGCCACGTAAATGACAAAAACAGTTCCCACCAAGAATGAAAGAAGCAACAGCGTCGATCGTGTTAAGGCGTGAAGAAACAATGTACTTCCTTACAATGATATTAACCTGTAGTGCCAGCTAGGTTCAAAACAAAATGAGAAATATGAATATTACAATATTCTTAGCCTACACAGAGAAAAAGCGGGATCCGTATTGAAAATAAGGGAAATAAATTTACGCACACTATTTTCAAGAGGCCCATATTATGAGATGGATTTTGTATCCCGTGGAAACTGCAGGGGCCATATGCAGAGAGTTAACTTCTGGCAAACAAGTGGATTTTAAGTAATTTATATAATCAGCAGTCTTATTTAATTTTCTAAAATTATCTGCCATATTAGAACGGTTAGTTTTCCTTAACAACATTATATAATGAAATTTTAATAATTTTGTCTCATTACTGCTATTCTGAATTAAAATATTTATGATACAGTACACAGTAATGCTAAATGTATGCATTTTTAACATGCTTACTATGCCATTTATTACAGACACTGTAAAACTTTAAATAAAACTTCTCTTTATTCTAATATAAAAGTATAGCTACAGTTATTAAATAAAGTAATAAATATCTTAATTAAATAAGCATTCATACTTAAAAGTAATTTGAAATTTTTACCTGCAATTCATTATCTATTAATTTCATCAGGAAATAGTAAAAAATACACTAAAAGACTTATAAAACTGTGAACTTAAAACTAAGGGTAATTTATTTCTCAAATTTAATCTTCTGTTTCAAAGAAAATAATTAGATTATCTCCTGATGTTTTATTGAAAAAATGTGTCACTAGCTTTTTGTGATCTACTACACAGAACCAGACAAAATGGAGGGGGGGGGGAAAGGAAAGCCATTAACATAACTAAAGTACAGAACATTTAAGTAATGTTAGCATATTCTTCACCAAGCATAAAATACATCACTAATGTACACTGCACAAAAAAAAGGGGGACAATTCTACATCTCCCGTTCTACTGGGCCGATTGACAAAATTCAAATTGCGTTTTTCATGTCTCAAAAGCGTAACTTAGTATATATATTAGATTTATATATGCCATTGTCCTAACATTGGTAATTTGACATAAAATTGGACTTGTTCAAATAAACAAATCTTTTTTTTTTTTTTTCATTTCGTTTCTACGACTCAAAATATGCCTAGATATTAAATTTTGTAAAATTTGGTGCGAAATTTATGAACAAAAATTTATCTTGGCCCACTTTTTTCTGTTTGCACCAAGAATAATTTACTCGGTGAACTTTTTAATATACGGCAAGCAATTTTCCTTTCCCTTCCATTATACTGTAGTGAAAAAAAAGGCACCTCGTTCCTACCACTTTACATTGCGCATGAGCGGGAAAAAAGTTACATTGTTCCTACTTTCAAATAATTTTAGCAAAGTGTCTAAAAACCACATTTGATGTTTTATCGATTTCAACAAATATGGCAAATTTCAAAACGTGCCAATATATAAATTCATGCATATTTTTGGAAATTTTGAATAAAAAACTGTAATTTTTGCAGGTATGCTTAGAAATACATCTTCTTTAAGATGATGGTAAAAATTTTATAGATTAGAATTTTTAAAAAATCATAAAAAAAATTGGGTGAATTTTATTTGGAATGAACTTGAATTTCGAAATGTGAAAGGAAGAATCAATAAGTTTAATAACAAAAAAAAGAGAGAGAGTCGCGCTTTCGAGACATGAAAAACGCAATTTGAATTTCGTCAATCGGCTCAATAGAACGGGAGATATAGAACTGTCCCCCCTTTTTTTCTGGCACAGCGTACATAATTGTCATTCCTTATAAATTTTATATAAAAGAATACACAGAAGGGAATGACATAAACAAACCTGAACTGCTAGAGTACTTTTCGCAGAACTGATATTTGCACTAGTTAATGCTAATGGTCCATCACACTGTGAAGCTAAATCTTGAATAAATTTACTCTTGGGTATTCTTATTCCAACCAATGGAATACCAGGATTTAAATTAGGATTTAGAGAGCTCTGTCTTTCCATAACTAATGTCACTGGCCCAGGTAGTAAGTCATCTAACAGATGCTTTGGGAATGTTAACTTACCCCATCTGAAATAAATAGGTATATTATTTGCAAAATATACAAATTAATCATACATTAAATTACATTCAATTCTGAACATTTAAAATCAAATACAATTACTACTTTTTAATTACAGTTAAATTTAATATAAAAACTAAGTCAACAACACAATAGAAAGTTTAAATTCCGGGCACCCAATATCTGGATCTCTGGACCACCCGCCAAGGGGGGAAATGAATAAAAAAAATTAAATAAGCTCCACTATAAAGTTGGGTAAATGGAGAATATAATAATAAAAGGAGGAGGCCAGGTGTGCTGTAAATGTGAGTTTTCTTTAGTCTACCAGGGGCCCTCGAATTTCATATAGTCTGTTTCTCATACAATTGCTATTTGGCACATTTTTAAAACTTCAATATTTTAAAGATTTCTGTTGATAATGAAAAAAGTGTGCTTGCATAACTGTTGCCAGCTCACTCATTCCATCTTCTGTTTTTTTCATCACTCTCATCGCAGCTGTGATGAGGGAAAGGGCGAGGTAACATACATCACATCCTATAACAGCAGATGTCTCAGAATCGTATCCTACTGTGTTCTTCTGAGCAAGAGGTCAAAACAGTTTCAGTCTTACATTGGGGGGGAGGGCGTGCATCAATGTGTTGTGTTTTGCTAATTTATTTACTTATTCTTAAATATTTGATCCTTATAAATTGACAGACATGAGTAAGAAATGGAGAAACTGCAGTGTTGATGTGAACAAAAAGACATTAAGGACTCGTAAACTTCATATGATTGAAACAAAGATGGAAATAATTAAATGTTCTGAAAATGGTGATCCTTTTGCTGCAATCCATTGTTTGTACAATGTAAATAGATCTAAAATATGTTCAGGTTTGAAAAATAAGAGAAAATTAAGGAATTACGTTCAAAATTGTGGAAATACATCTCCAAACATTGTTTCTAAAAGACATGACATAGCAATGGATGAAACAGAAAGATCTTTATCACCATGGATTGATGATCAACATCAAAATAATGCCCTCCTGAGTTTTTCAATTACTCAGTGTTAAGACTCTTAATGTGGATGAAGATTGGAAGACTAGATTAAATGCAGATTCAAATATGGTGTTTCAAGCAAGTAATGGCTGGTTCAACATTAAACTGAGCTATTATCCACATAATACTAAATTAAGTGGAGAATTGGTTGATACAGATAATGATGTAGAATTCATTTCCAACACTGTCCAAAATTATTGCACATGGAGAATATAATCCTAGTCAAATATTCAATGTAGATAAGATGGGTTTATTTTGGAAAAAAAATACCGAATCATACATTTTTATTGAAGGAAGAATCAGTAGCCCCTAGGCATAAAACTTCCACTGATATTGCTTTTTCAATTAACTGATATTGCTTTTTGGTGGAAATTTAGCTGGCGATTTAAAATTGAAGCCGCTGATAGTTTACTAAGCAGAAAATCTCAGAGCATTGAAAGGAAAAGTTAAATAAATGCTTCCAGTCATATGGAAATGAAATAAAAATACCTGAGTTATTGCTTTAAAGCTTGGTTCACTTTTTATTTTGTACTAAACAATTAAGCAACATTGTAATAATAATAATTTACAATATAGCTTCCCTACTGGTTAATGGGCTGCTCAGCAGTTACTTTAAAAAGCCTCCATTTCTTGTTCAAAGGCAACTGGCTTTTTTTGAACTGCACTAAAACAATCTCTTACAAAAAAAAAAAAAAAAAAAAAAAAAAAAAAAATCCACTTCTTTCCGTTATGAAAATAATAATTATATATGAAAAAATTAGCAATTTTTCATAAGGATGGAGCCTTTTTAAAATTTATCTTAACATATTCTTGAAATATTTAAAAAAATTCTTTGAATTCAGATTTTAAACAATAATCTCATTCTTTAAATATTTCAAAAATAGTAATTTAAAGAATAATGAAAAACATATTAATCATATTAAGAACCTACCCTAAATAAAAACTTAAAATTCTTTAATTCATTAAACAAATTAGTAAAATTTGAATTTCTAATACCATGGATTATTTAAAATTTTAAGCTTTCATTTTCATAAAACAATCCTATACTTTTAATCCAATATAAGAAGAAACAGCATTATGTATTCAAATTTCACAATAACATTAATTAATTAAAAAACTATTTAGCTGTTAGCTCTGAAACAATTTAAACAAACTCTATTAGCATTCTTTGAACAGCATGTTTTATTTTTCACTAAAGAACAATGATTTAATAAACTTTAACCAAAATAATGGATGCATATTTAGAAGGGTAAATATAGGATATATATTTGACCTTTTAAATGTATATCCAATGTATTTATTTCCATTATATCTAAATGTATATCCAATGCATTATCCATCCAAATATAGGAATCAGAAGTAGATTAAAAAAAAAAAAAAAAAAACTTTCCCACAATCCAACATGTGTGGAGTAAATGACATTGTGATGACTGATTACCAGGATGCTGAATGATTTTGTAGTTGATTCGAAATACTTCTATTGACTTTGAAGTACTGGTTAACTGCAAAGCATTAATTAAAGCACAGATGATCACACCATAATTTGTTTTTTCCTTTCTTTTTTTAGACATTGGCCAGGACACAAATGAGGCTTTGAATAACATAGAAATTAAAAATGAGCATCTCACAAACTTCCATCAGAATTATGAACACAGAAACATAGAAGCAGAGCATGAATGTAGAAATTAAATATAGGCATGCCACAGATTTGTAAAGCTAGTAATATATAAATATATATAATTACTTTCATTTAGTATATACAATAAAATCTAAATGCAGTAATATATATACATAAATTAAATGCTAGTATTATACATATATATATATTACTAACATCGGAAAAGTCTTAACAATCCTTATACAGACATCTACAACACGCAACCACATCAACACGAATTTGCTTTTAATTTCTTCTACAGTTTAACCCGTGCTCACTAGAATTAAATGCTTATTCAAGCCTACACCATCATATTCTATGCTCACATACAAAAATGAAGTCACCTGATCTGCAGAAAGCTTAAAGTGCTAAACTATTATCCGAATAGTTCTATAAAACACTTTTTTTCTTTTTAAGTAGCTAACTTTTCACAGTTTTATACAATACAATTAACCCTCACTTTAGACACAAACTGATATAATTCATTCATTTTGTCTTTTCCTCTACAAATTATTATATTTCTGTTACATTAAAAAATTAGATTTATGTAGTTTTCGGTTTTGCCAGAGCAGGTGATAAAGTCACCAATAATGGTACAACCAATGCCAAACAGAATATCCTCGCTGGTAACCTTTTACTCCTCATTTCCAAAACAAGCCGCAGCCTTTTATTTACAGATTGATTGTTTCTTTCAATACTGGCATACGATTACATAGAATTTTTACCAGACAGTTCAGTTTTATGAAGGCCATTCGTGGGCAATAATTAAGTCAATTAGGATGTAATCACACCGCTCACACAATGGCAAAAATATAGAAAAGGCAAAGTGTTAAATTCATCAATTCTAATAAGAATGCACTAGCGACGTAAAGCACTGTGGTTATACAAAATTTCTGACTAAGCTATTCGTACGAATTGAAATAATTCTTGCATTTAAACTTTTATTCCAAATTAAGATTTAACTTGAAATTAATATAGATAGTTACTGAGGGAATTAGATTTTTGTGTGAGAATTAGATTTGCTTAGTTTACATGAGATGAGATCACTTGGGATCACGTGATATGAATTGGCGAATTAGGATGTTGTACCATGAAAGCATAGTAAATTCTTAGTCTTTTTACAAATTTATTGTCTTTATTTATTGGCTTCATTGCAAACTTTTAAACGACATTCAAATGTTTATAACTTAAAAATAAAAATTCTTAGAACTAACATTTGTCAACATTTCTTATGTGTATACTGTGTGCTGTCGCCAATAAAGTCTGCTTGGCGAATCTGCACCGACAAAACGGAAACGTACCTAGATTAAAAATAATTTAATTTTCTCACAAGACTTATACTTTTATTTTAACATGACAAAATCAATAATAAATGGAAATTTCAGAAAATAAACACTATTCAGTACTCATAAAAGTTCCAAAAATTGGATAATCTCTATCCCTCTCTCAAAACCATCTGAGCAGAGGATATTTATACGAGTTACGTATTCTAAGACTTACTTAAATTTCTAAGTTTTAGAGTGCATGGATAAATTCAGGAAAGTTAATACATCAGCTAATAACCGTAGATTATACGAGCAAAAACAGAAATTCAGAACTAAAGAACTTTAATATCGGGTTTTAATGACAGTTTCCTGTCACCACAAACATCATCTGCGCAAACAGTTCACGTTGGCATGTTTAATCATATTTTGTCAAACAAATTTTTGGCATTTAAAAGAAACAGACTTGCTTTAGAATACTGTATTGTGAAGTTTGAAAAAAAAAATATCATTAAGTATAAGGTGTCTGAAATGAAACTATCATGCTACCAGATTAGAACCATCATTTACTACCACTTCCGTTGCAAAAAGTCAGCTACAGAATACTATATCATGTGTATATAGCTTTAGGTACTAAATGACATTGTGAAGGTTAAGTACCAAAAGCTCAAATATAAGAACTATGACATTCAAGAAGCAGAGTGCTCTACTGATGTTGATGACGTCCATCTGAGACAACTTGTGAAAGAAGATCAGAATGCAACCATTCAAGAACTTGCTGAGGAGTTAGATGTTAGTGCCATGTCTATCAGTTGCACTATGCATCACATAAAGTTGACGTACACGTTCAATCGTTAGATGCCACATGAGCTGATTCAAGCAGATAAGGACAGACATGTTCGGGCCTGCACTAATCTGCTCGAACATCAATGCAAGGACAATATTCTGGACCAGATTGTCACTTGTCACGAAAACTGGATTTACTTCAACAATTGAGGCTGGAAAGGTTGTTAGTCTATACCAGATGAGCCTGACAGCAGCATCGCAAAGCACAATTTGACTAACAAAAAGATCATGCTTTTGTATCTGGTGGGATTGCCATGGTATTATCTGCAAAGACTATCTGGAAAAAGGTAAAAACCTTCGACAGTGAAGTGTACAGTGAGATGCTAGTCCATGTTGATGCTGCTATCAAGGGAAAATGCAGCCTATTAGCAAGGATTCTCATGATTTAGCCAAGATTTTCAGCTAAATCATAACTTTATATTTTAACCACAATCCATAAAAAGTCAACCAGTTATCTTAACATTGACCAAGTTTTTTAGAAGAAAAAAAAATCTAGTCTATAATTGCAAACTCACACTTATAGCATACCTGAAATAATACTAAAGCTACCTTTAGTGTTTTGACCATTACTATTAACAACAGATACTTTCTGATTCAAGTGGTCTATGACTAGTTGCTGGAATTGGCAAACTTGATCATCAAAAATTTTTATCATGCAGTTTGGTTTTTACTCATTTATCAGTCTTGTTAGATGGTCTCTATATTTAGGAAGTATCTTATAACAAACAGATAAAACTTATACTCGAAATAATGGAGAACAGCAAATGTTGACATTCTTTCTAATTCATTTTCATAAGTATTTAAAACATAAACAATAATTCTTGATGCAATTAATTATTAAATAACTAAAAATTAAACATAAAGCACTTTCATACTTTGTTACATCTTCAACACATCCAACACAAATAGCCAGTGGCTTTCTGCAGTCTCGTCCTTTTATTTTATAGATTGCTTTCACAGCAGTATCACATTGAGCTAAAGCAGTAATGCCATAAACAGTGTCTGTAGGCACAGCAATAATTTTTCCTTCTTTCAAGATATTAGCAGATACATGAACTGTAATGAAAAACCTTATTTAAAAAAGAATACTACAAATTATTTTTATCTGAAGAATATAAAAATTCGAATTTTATGCAGATCATTAAAAAATAATTTCACATTAAAGCCATGGCCTAAAAGTATATCAAAAGAAAGTTTGGCATGATTATTTTTGCTAATTTCAAGGCATATTTTTACAGAAACAAAAAGGATTATGAATCAGTTTTTGTCTAATATCCCATGTTCAAGACCAAATGTTTAAAAGCAATTTTGTAAAACAATTTTAGTGAATTTAATAATTTTCTAACAGATAATATTTTTCTAGCTTTATAAAAAGTATAGTAATTTACAAAACATTGTAAATTCATCTAGGGCTGGCTCTACGGGATTTTCAAAGTTTTTCGTATGTATAATGTTAATATGAGATGTTTCCCTAAAACATAACTCTACAAAAGAATCCTTCCCCAGACAGATGGTTCCTGCTCACTATAATCAGTTAATAAGCACTACCATAATCAATTCAGCAGCCAAGAAAGTAAATATTCCGGAACATTTTTTTAGTATTTTTAAAATTATTCGATGATTTCATTTTTATTTTAAACAGGGTTCGTAGCCACATTTTAGTTAAAAAAATAAGCACCTATAAGCACTTTTCAAGCACATTTTAGGAAAAAAAATAAGCACCTGTTTAATTACATTATACACAACTGCATGATCTTAAAAGAAAAATTAGACTTGTAATTTAAAATATGAGAAATTCAGTATTAATTAAGAGAGAATGAGCATTACTCAACCATGGAAAACAATTACACTATTTTTTTTTTTATTTTAAATAACAGTTCAATTTACAGAACTAGTGTACAAAAAGAACAGAACTAGAAAAAAAATTATGCAGAACTAAATCATATTACAAGATTTAATAACGAAATTTCTGTTTAAAATAGAGAAAATAAATAATAATAAACCATATTTATTATATTCACTTGGCACTTAAAATAAATACAATTTATTTTTCCAATCTTATTAATATTTAAATAACTTAGATCAAAATTCTGAACATTTTCTAAATTTTCAATGTATAAGAGTTTTCCTTTAACAGATATTGCAGGCAAAGTACGAGGCGTATTCGGAAACTAAGTACCATTTTGAAAAAAAAAATAGTAAAACAATTTTTTCGAATCCAATTTTATTTTTACATGAAAATACATGTCTTAAACTATTTTTCAACATAGTTTCCGCCAATGATCAAACACTTGTCATAGCGGGTGACCAGTTTTTGTATACCATCGTCAAAGAAACTTCCCGGCAGTTTCGATAACCACGACTCCACAGCATTTTTCGTGTCATCGTCAGATCCAAAGCGCTTGCCACCAAGCTCGCGCTTCATGTGCAGGAACAAGTGATAGTCGGATGGCGCCAAGTCCGGGCTGTACGGCAGGTGATCGAACTGCTCCCAATGAAACTGTCGAATTAACGATTGAGTGACACCAGCAGTATGGGGCCGAGCATTGTCATGGAGCAACACAATTCCTTTACTGAGCATTCCTCTTCGTTTGTTTTGAATGGCACGCCTTAGTTTTGTTAATGTCTCACAATATCGTGCCGCATTAATGGTTTCCCCTCTGGGAAGAAATTCAGTAAGCAAAATGCCTTTCCTATTCCAGAAGACAGTGCACATGATTTTTTGTGATGACATTGTCACTTTGAACTTTTGTTTTTTCGGAGAATGAGTGCGTCTCCACTCCATCGATTGTTGTTTCAATTCTGGTGTGAAATGACACACTCAAGTTTCATCACCTATCACAATTTGGTTTAAAAAGTTTTCTCCCTCATCACTGTACCGTGTGAGAAATGTCAGGGCACTACCAAGTCGCTTTGTTTTGTGAACATCAGTGAGCATTTTTGGAACCCATCGGGAACACAGTTTGCGAAAATTCAAGCGGTCAGACACAATTTCAAACAAAACAGCATGTGAAATTTGTGGAAATGCCTCTGAAAGAGTTGTCATTGTGAAGCATCTGTTCTCATGAATTGCTTCATCAACTTTCCTTACCAAATCATCGGTGACAACAGAAGGCCGACCACTCCGAGCCTCGGCGTGGACATTTGTTCGACCTGCATTAAACATTCTTACCCACTTTCTCACCATTCCATCACTTATCGCGTATTCATTGTAAACTTCTGTCACTTGGACGATAAATTTCGGCGGTTTAACATTCCTCGCGTTCAAAAATTTAATCACGGCACGAATCTCACAGTCAGCGGGAGAACTAATTGTCTTAACATTTTGAATTTGCACAGCAAGCTGAAAACACAACATAGAGCAACCAAAATGGCGACAGTTGAAAGTCAGTGAACAGAAAAAGAAAGACTAGTGCGCATGCACGGGACGCCTACCACAGCGCTGCGACGGCGCTAGAATGAAACGGTACTTAGTTTCCAAATACGCTACGTAATTTAAGTAAAAATAAGTAAAACGAGCTTTTCAGAAAATGGGAAATTTCTTCATGAAGTCATCCTTTAACAGTAGAAGCTTAACTAACCGGCATACTCGGAAATTTGCGAATATCTGAAAATTCCAGATAGCCGAATATAACTGGTAAAAGTGGAAAGGGAGGTAGGTTGTAGCCATTCTTTACATTTTTCAGCTAAATAATGCTCTTGACATTTCGATATGTGCATCATATAAAAAATAGTCCAATGGAACTGAAAATTAATCTGCTTAGCAATCACAGTAAAACTCTTTTATCTCGGTGAAATATCGCAAACATTATTGTGCAATACATGCGCCTTAATTCTTCCGCACGTGATATTACCCAATCGGAATCAACAGCTGCTGGTATTCGGAGAATAAATAACTAAATAAAGGAAAACGCCCCTTTGCTTCGTTGGGTTTTCACCGTCATGCGCCCATGCGGCATATTTATCATTGAGAAGGACACGTCGCGCTCTGCGCGATATCCTTGCCGTACTCATATTGATTAATAAAGAGATTTACCAATCTGGAGTGCTTGTCATTCTAATTTTGAACAGACTGCATTAAATTTCCGGAATAGAATCATTCTTCGCTTGGGTTGGTACACTGCAGAACTTTTAGTCTTATTCAATCCAGATGGGAAAGTGACCAAAAAAAAAGTCCGTTGCTTGCTTTGCTGCAAACTGTAACGGTTTCAATATTCGAGATTTTGCAGAGAAAGAGGAGAACCCCCAGCTTCCGTACTGTATAATGCATTGGCAAAAAAAGAAAAAAAAAATTTTTTTTTTACTTTTCGATTACTTTCCCTTTATTTATGCCATTCCGAATATTATTCCTTTGAAAACTAATTTGTGTTAAAACACACTTACGCATTTTTTAAGTTTACCTATACTTCAGCAGTTACTGCAAATATAATATTATAAATATTCATACATATGTTCATAATATAAGCATACCGATCATAATAAATGCGATTATGAACTCACCCTGTGGAACGAGAATGTAAATTATTAAAATCTTGATAGAAATTCAAACGTGTGTAGTATTAGGTGGGAGCAAAAGAATACGGAATGTACTGGAATTTTCTACCGGTTTCGCAATTCTTTGACCAGTAGAGCGACATGCACGTTATGCTAATGCAGAGAAAGAGGCGGAAAGCTATTTCTGGGATTACGATTCAAAATCTGACGTTCCATATAAGTAAGAAAAGTTGTTTATTAGTTTCGACTTTGGTACGGAGAAAAAATGTACGTTCCTTTAAAAAAAAAAAAAAAAAAAAAAAAACACTAAAAGCAAAAAATAAGCACTAAAGAAAAAGTTTTCAAATATAAGGACTTATAAGCACTTGAAAGGACCACTATGAACCCTGTTAAAGTTTAAAAATAAAACATTATTTTATAATATTTTAAGATCAAACATCTCTTATTCACAGAGGAAACAAATTGATTTTATTGTGTCTAATTATCAAAAATAAAGCCTTAATCTGACTTGTGAATTACAGTGAAAAGTCTTTAATCCGGACTCATCGGGACTTCGGCAATTCCGGATTATCGATTTTTCCGGATTATAGATCATCAGTTCAAATCTGGTAAGATGGCATGCAGAAATTATAAAATTAAAATTATGAAACCGTAGTTTATGAAATAAAGAGCAATTATGATCTAAAGGGTATCAAAATTTACAAAAAAAAAGGCATGACATTTATTTGTTTACCTTATTAAACATTTCTTTCAATGCACGCATGCGTAAAGCATACATTATGCAAAAGTCAAAATTAGAAAATTGCAACCAGAAAACTATTTGATGTGTATTCGTGATATTTATAATGACGAGGAATTTGAATTAAATCATATCAAAGACGGAGTACATCAAGATGAAATACTACATTTAGTAAGGAATTATAAGCCGAATAAAATAAAAACATCTGCCCTGAAGATAAGAATAGTGCCGACAGATCAACTTCCACTTCATTGCGTGCCGTGACGTCCCCCCCCCCCGCAGAGCAGCGTGAAATTGATAAACAGATTTCGGAATGGTTACAGAAACAAAGGATGTGCCTTTATTCATTTTTTGCAGCAATTCCACTTTTTGTTTGATGGGCATCGAAACATGCTTTCACTTTGTAGATCCTTTGGCAGCTCCAGAATCAGAAATTTTTTTTGACATAATCGAAAGTTCAAGCTTACTTTTATAATATTGCTTTAACAGTTTGCAAAAAACAATAAGCCAGATTCAATTAGAAGGTTAAGGAACAACGCAATCTGCAAAATTAACTGAATTAAATAATTTTAGCTTAGCTTATACCGTCCGTTATACATTAAACGCGCATGCAATGAACATATTATGTGCATATGCGTAAAAGTATTACTTTTGTAGCTTTGAGGTCCAGATTATAGATCATTCCAGATTCTGGACGTCTGGATTAAAGACTTTTTCAAAATTTCAAGGTAGCACAATAGTTACAAAATGTTCGAATACTGATTGGAATTTCTTCTGCAGGGTTTGCAATATGAGTAAAACATGTAACGAATTAAATTTTTAT